ACACACGAGGAGCAGCAGTGACAAGGTGGATGTGTTGAAAGAAGTGTTACAGAGAGAAATAAGCAGCTTGAGAGAGAGAAAAGGATAAAGGGAGAAGAGGAAATTGATGATAATCACAAACAATAATAATATAAAATATGGCCAGCTTCACTTGATGATGCTGGCTGGGACCACAGAGTACACGCCTGGAGTGATCCTTGCTTCCCCATATCTTGAAGCTGACTATCTATGACTGCAGTGGAGCCTCCTCTGGCATAGAAATATGAATTTCTCAAGAGCCATATCTCTACTCCACCAGCAGCTCTGCATCCTGTGCAGAGCATTGAGAAAGAGCTTGACCTTTCAAGGGATTGCTATTACCTGGTGTTCCTGAGCCCTGTCTTAGGATGTACACTAAACATATTCCCAATAAAGCATGTCAACAACTGAGTCTCCACTTAGACCGAGTCAGCCTGTTGATACCTTTTGAAGTAGGAGAGATTTATCCTCAGTGGCTTCCCTTCTTATGACATTTCTTCCATATGAGGGCCCTTCTAAAAACTACATTGACTACAGAAGTGGGGATGTGGCGAGTGGAATCGAATCTAGTTGCTGGTCTTTACTGCTCAGACAGATCCAGATATTTTTAGAATCTGGTTGCCCAATATCAGGACCCCACTGGATCCAGTTCCAAATGTTAAAGACACATAAACAGAAGATTATTTCCACCCTTCCTACCAAATGTCACTGAGCTCAGTGGGAGACACCACAGCCCTGTATTAGGTGACAAGAAAATCTCTTTGTTTTCCACTGCCATTAGGAGCGATCAGCTGCAAGACACCCAGGGAGAAAATGACAAGTGCCACAGCATGAATATTGCCATCTTTGGCAGGGTAAGGGGATGTTAGGCATAGCAGTGGAAAAATAACCCCCTGAGATTTTAGGCCTGTCCCCTTTATACAGACAGACTTGGAGTGAGCATAGATCATTCCAGAATTCTTGGCCTGGTCGGGTTCGAACTATTGAGAGAGAGAAGTATAAAATTGAGTGATATTCCATTTCAAAAGCAGCAGACGGACAGCATTTCAGAGCTAGAAGAGACCTTGCGAGCTTAGCCTGTTCATCTAGACATCCAGACTCACCGGATGTCAGAACCGGCAGGGATATTAAAGACCACTGCATCAGACATGGCCAACAGGTGCAGGAAAAGTTGCTCAGCATCAGTAATTATCAGAGTAATATAAGGCAAAACCACCAGGAGCTATCATGTCACAACTGTTAGAGAACAGCTATTATCAAAAAGATAAGAGGTAACAACAAATAATCCAATCAAGAAATGGGCAGAAGACATGAACAGACATTTCTGCAAAGACATCCAAATGGCCAACAGACACATGAAAAAGTGCTCAACATCACTCAGCATCTGGGAAATGGCAAATCAGAACCTCAATGAGATACCACCTCACACCAGTCAGAATGGCTAAAATTAACAAGTCAGGAAACGACAGATGTTGGTGGGGATGCAGAGAAAGGGGAACCCTCCTACACTGTTGGTGGGAAGGCAAGCTGGTGCAGCCACTCTGGAAAACAGTATGGAGGTTCCTCAAACAGTTGAAAATAGTGCTACCCTATGACCCAGCAGTTGCACTAATGGGTATTTACCCCAAAGATACAAATGTAGTGATCCCAAGGGGCACGTGCACCCCAATGTTTATAGCAGCAATGTCCACAATAGCCAAACTATGGAAAGAGCCTAGATATCCATCAACAGATGAATGGATAAAGAAGATGTGGTATATATATATACAATGTAATATTATGCAGCCATCAAAAAAAGAAATCTTGCCATTTGCAAAACATGGATGGAACTAGACGGTATTATGCTAAGCAAAATAAGTCAATCAGAGAAAGACAAGTATCATATGATCTCACTGATATGAGGAATTTGAGAAACAAGACAGAGGATCATAAGGGAAGGAAGGGAGAAATGAAACAAGATGAAACCAGAGAGGGAGATAAACGGTAAGAGGCTCTTAATCTCAGGAAACAAACTGAGGGTTGTTGGAGGGGAGAAGGGTGGGAGGGATGGGGTGGCTGGGTGATGGACATTGGGGAGGGTATGTGTTGCAATGAGCACTGTGTATTATATAAGACTGATGAATCACAGACCTGTACCCCTGAAACAAATAATACATTATATGTTAATAAAAAAATAAAAAAATAAAAAATAAAATGAAAACTAAAAAAAAAAAGATAAGAGGTAACAAGTGTGGTGCAAATGTGAAGAAAAGGGAACCCTGGTGCACTGTTGGTGGGAATGCAAACTGGTGCAGGCACTATAGAAAACAGTATGGAGGGTCCTCAAAACAATTAGAAATAGAACTATTCTATGTTTCAGCGATCCCACTTCTAGGTATATAGCCAAAGAAGAGGCAACCATCATCTTGAAGAAATATCTGCACTCCCATGTCCACTGTGGCATTGTTCACAAGAGACCAGACATGGAAACAACCTAACTGTCCCTTGACAGACAAATGGAAAAAGAAAATATGGTGTGTATATCTACAACAGAATATTCCTCAACCATGAGAAAGAAGGCAATCCTGGATGGATGCAACTGGAGGGCATTATACTAAGACAAATAAGTCAGGCTGAAGAAGGCCAGTATTGTCTGATCTCAGTTATACGTGGAATCTAAAAGAGTCAAATGCAGAGAGACAGAGAGTAGAAGGGAGCTTGCCAGGGGCTGAGGGTTGGGGGAAATGGATAATATTTGTCAAAGGGTACAAATTTACAGTTAGAAGTTGAATAAGTTCTGGGGATGTAATGTCCAGCATAGTGACTCTAGTTCACAATATTGTATTGTATACTTGAAAGTTGCTAAGAAATTTGCTATCTTAAATATTCTCATCAAAATGGTCATTTATGTGAGGTGATGGATGTGTTCACTAACCTTATTATGATAAACATTTTGCAATATATAAGTGTATCAAATCATCACGTTGTACACCTTAAACTTACCCAATGCCATATGTCAATTATATCTCAATAAAGACCATCCATTTCAACCCTCTTACTTTTTGGATGAAGAAACTGAGGCCTACAAAGGGAAAGTAAGTTACTCAAGGTCACAGTTATAAATGACAGGACTAAGACTAGGGTCTGGTCTTCTAACTCCTAATATATTTTTTCACTATATGCCTCCACTAGGTACCTCAGATCTAAACCATCCTAATGGATACTTTTATATTCTGATTTCTTTAAACTGTCCAGTGAGAGAGATTCTACAAACACACTTAGGAGAATACATCTCATTGCTATTTATGGTTAGGAAATTTCTCCTAATAGATAACCTAAAAGCCTCCTGCTGCAGCATAAACCCATTCCTCTTTGGTCTGTCCTTAATTGAAATGGATCACAGAGGGGCACCTGAGTGGCTTAGTCGCTTAGTTAAGCATCTGCCTTCGGCTCAGGTCATGATCCCAGGGTCCTGGGATCGAGCCCCACATCAGGCTCCCTGCTCAGCCGGGGAGTCTGCTTCTCCCTCTTCCTCTCCCTCTGCCCCTGCTCATGTGCTCTCTCTCACTCACTCTCTCTCTCAAATAAATAAATAAAATCTTAAAAAAAAAAAGAAATGGATCACAGATGGTCACTATCACCAGAAATATTCACGAAATATGGACAATATGTGTGTATATCTATGTGTGTAAAAATGTGTGTATACTTTTATTTATATAACCAATAATTTAAGCTGCTTTTCTGTAGGCTAAATGATTCCTCAGTGGCAGACAAAATCTGAGAAATAGCATCAATGAAGGAAGACGAGAGTCAGGTCTTTTCATCTGTCTTCTGTGTTATAGCAAAAACTTTCAGCAACAGATAGACCCATGGGGGTGATCTAGCATCTTAATATGAACTAAGCATCCAAATCCACTGGTACCCAACTAAACAGGACCTCAGATAGCCAAAACTCCTTTGCTAATACTCCATTTCTAAATATGATAGGCAGATCATAAGAAAATACGCTAAGGGGCGCCTGGGTGGCTCAGTTGGTTAAGCGACTGCCTTCGGCTCAGGTCATGATCCTGGAGTCCCGGGATCGAGTCCCGCATCGGGCTCCCTGCTCGGCGGGGAGTCTGCTTCTCCCTCTGACCCTCCCCCCTCTCAGGTGCTCTCTCTCATCCTCTCTGTCTCAAATAAATAAATAAAATCTTTAAAAAAAAAAAAAAAGAAAATACGCTAAGGTTAGATATTTACTTTGGCATCAAAAACCAGGGCAGGGCCTGGACCAATCCCCTGTCCTGTACCTTCACCATTTCTTGTTTAGGGTAATATTGCTGATCCAAATGGTAGCATGATGGTCAAAAAAAGATTCAGTGATTGACTCTACTAAAGAGTGTCTCACAGTGGAGTGTAATTACTCATATATTCTTGATCAAAAAATAGTCACTCTCTGTCTGAGAAGGTTGTCTTTGGCAACCTTTGGCTCAGTTTTGTGAGGAACATGTTTGCAGTGATGAAGGAGATAAGACCCTCCTGCCTAGAGAACCAGTCAGCTCAATCAATCCACCCTGGAGATTAGTGGAGTGACAAGTTATAGACAAACTGTGCTCAGACCTCCCAAGCTCTCCTTCCTAAGGCAAGAAAATGGATTCAGAGTTTTAAGGCTACCAGAAAGTCTTATTAACTAGAACGTCCTCTTCTAGATTACTGAGATTCAATGGACTCAGAGTCCGAACCGAGTTGCCTTAGAGAGAAACAATTCACTCTAACAACTGGAAAGTCTTATTAACTAGAAAGTCTTGTTAACTAGAACGTCCTCTTCTAGATTACTCAGATTCAATGGACTCAGAGTCCAAACCGAGTTGCCTTAGAGAGAAATAATTCACTCTAACAACTGGGAAAGCTAATGGAAAATACTTGATGCCGACACACTGCTTCATTGAGCTTCCAGTGGGCTCCAGGCCAATGTGACCACTCCAGAAATGAAGTAATCACCCTTGTCAAGCAAAGCTACTCACGGCAATAAGCTGGTAGGAGTTGTTCATCATGGCAATCAGCATGTTCAGCAGCACAACTAGGGAGATGACGTTGTATGTCCCAAACATGGTAGCTCCCACAAACTCTGTGAACTCATGTCTGGCTTTCACATTGGTGACATAGAGATTTAAAAGGCCGAAGACAGACCAGAAGAGAGACTGGAGGGTTTCGAAGAGCCTGAAAGAGGTCGAAGAGCAGGTTAGTTAATACTCTAGGAAGGGCAAGAAAAATAGACAGAAAATGTGAAGGGATCTGCTTAATAAGGGGCCTGTCAGATTTACGTCCCAACAGGGAGAGTATGATGTCACATGATTTTGGTCTCTTTCCCCACGCAAACCTATCAGGTGGGCTCATTTGTTTGTTACCGCTTCTGTCTCTTAGGCTTTCCCCTTCCGCCTGGAATACCTTCTCTCTCTTCTCAGTCTACACAGAGCCTATGCTTTTCTTTTTTCTTTTTTAAAGATTTTATTTATTTATTTGTCAGAGAGAGAGAGAGAGAGCACAAGCAGGGGGAGCGGCAGGCGGAGGGAGAAGCAGGCTCCCCGCTGAGCAGGGAGCCCGATGTGTGCGGGGCTCGATCCCAGGACCCCGGGATCATGACCTGAGCCGAAGGCAGATGTTTAACCGACTGAGCCACCCAGGCGTCCTGAGCCTATGCTTTTCTAAGAGTTATTTCCAGGGCTCCTTCCTTTGCCAAACTTTCTCTTTCATCTTGAGACCATGTGATTTATCACCTTTCTAATTACATAATGGCAGTAAATGAGTAGTTAAGAATATGGGGCTTGGGTTAGAAATCTCAGCTCTGTCATTTGCTAGCCGAGTGAATGTGAACAAGTTACCATTTCTGATACTTCTTTTGTGGTTCTGACAGGGCCCAGCGGGGTGCTAAACTCAGTGGAGGAGCTTAGGGATCCTTGAATTAACACACTGTGTAGATTATTTTAAACGATATGTCAACTAATACTCACTGAGAACTTACTATATATAAACATGTTAAGCACTTTTCCATACATGATCATTATTATCCTTATAAAAACTTTATTGTTATGGCTGAGGAAGCAGAGATTCAGAGGTCACTCAGCTCTAAGTGCTGAGCCAGAATTCAAAATCCAAATCCATCTCACCTTCTCAAACCACTGCATTATTTTATATTAGATGGCTTCACAAATTATTGTTTCCTCTCCTAGTCTCCAAATATGTAACTTTGCAGTATGTTTTCGGTGTCTAGGGTTTATTTGGCCTCATATTCAGAAGTCTGTGCAGGTAGCAATAAAAGGCAGCCAGCTCCGGGTGGCAGAAATCAACCATTTCTCAAGCTCACAGATGAGGGGCAGAACATAAGAAATGTTACTTTAAGATTAGATGCCCTTTTTCTATTGCTCAAAATAGGTTGTTTTAATTTTTTTAAAGATTTATTTATTTTTAGAGAAAGAGAGCATGAGCAGGGGGAGGGGCAGAGGAAGAAAGAAAAACAGAGAGAGAGAGAGAAGCAGACTCCCTGCTGAGCACGGAGCCCGGATATGGGGCTTGATCTCACAACCCTGAGATCATGACCTGAGCCGAAATTAAGAGTTGGATGCCCAATTGACTGAACCACCCAGGTGCCCCCCAAATATGTTTTTAGGGTGCAATACATTCTGAGAGGCTTAGAGGGATTTGTTCTTGGGTTCATTTAGGGGGTATCTGGGAAATGTTTTAGAGATTCCCTCTACCTGGGAGTGATCTTCCCCCATATCTTTGCATGACCATCTCCTTAACATAACTGGAGTCTCAACTCAAATGTCACTTCCTCAGAGAAGCTTTCCTTGGTCACTCTACCAAAAGTAGATCCACCAGTTTTTTTCTTTTCTTTTTTTTTTTTTTTAAAGATTTTATTTATTTATTTGACACAGAGAGAGACAGCGAGAGAGGGAACACAAGCAGGGGCAGAGGGAGAGGGAGAAGCAGACTCCCTGCTAAGCGGGGAGCCTGATGCTGGGCTCGATCCCAGGACTCTGGGATCGTGACCTGAGCCGAAGGCAGACACTTAACGACTGAGCCACCCAGGCGCCCCCTTTTCTTTCTTTCTTTCCTTCTTTCTTTCCTTCCTTCCTTCTTTCTTTCTTTCGTTCTTTTTTTTTTTTTTTAAAGATTTTTATTTATTTATTTGAGAGAGAGAGTGAGCACAAGCAGGGGAAGGGGCAGAGGGAGAGGGAGAAACAGAGGGAGCCTGACCTTGGGCTTGATTCTAGGACCCTGGGATCATGACATGAGCTGAAGGCAGACGCTTAACCGACTGAGCCACCCAGGCATCCCGTCTCGTTTAATTTTCTTTGTAGCATTTAAAACTCCCTAAAAATTTGTAAATAAAATCTTCAAAAGTGCAGACCGACTGCCTGTGACCTACAGTGGTGAGGGCTTCAAAACTTTAAAAAATAAAAATAAAAAAAATAAAAAACTCCCTAAAATTATATGAAGTAATTTCTTGTTTAAGTGTTTATTTTCTGTCCATCCCCACTAGAATGTAAGCTCTAGGAAGGCAGAGACATACAGCTACTCTGTACCTGGCACATGATAGGCACTGGATCATACTTGTTGAATAAATGAATGGATATTTATTAACTTTTACTATTACTGTTATCAATGGATTAAAGTCTAGAAGACGCCAGTCCCATTGACAATTGTCCGGGCAATAGGCGGCACAGTGGGATTAGTCATTTTGATGAAGGTTGCGCCCTGTCTGCACTGGCCTGACTCTCACGGAGCCTCCTTCAGGGCTGTCTGGGCAACATGCACATGGCCCTTTTCAACCAGTTATATGGCTCTTCTTGTATCATCATAGGTAACTTCCATGATTCTTTCAACATCACATTGCTTGTGAGCTAGCCTAGAAGGAAGAAATTTGCTTTTTGTTTGATGAAAATAAGTGCTGGTTGGTGAAGCATTTGAGAATCAAAAGTAAGATGAGAGCCTGGAGTTCAGGGGCCAGGTTGGCACAAGAACCAGAATATGGCAAGTCAGACTTAGCACAGGATCCGAATTTCCAGGAGAGTCTAAAAGTCAGGGCCAGGCAAGACAGTGCATTACAGAGCCAGGCAGAGGATCAAAAATGAGAAAGATATGGGGCTCAGGAGTCTGGTTCTACCAAGAAGGCACAACCAGGACGTGGCAGGGTCCATCTGAAATCAGGGCAGGTGGGAGGCCAGCAATGGCACAAGCAGCTAGCCAATAGCTGGAGAGCAGAAGCCAGGGTGGGTGTGGTTCAGAAAAACAGAAAGGAGTTGCAGCAAATCGGAATGGTAGTTCGAAAAACCAGGGTCTCTGGAAGTTCAATGACCTCGAGTATAGAAAACATTCAGTAAGGGGCACCTGGGTGGCTCAGTCCTTAAGCGTCTGCCTGCAGCTCAGGTCATGACCACAGGGTCCTGGGATTGAGCCCCGCATCGGGCTCCCTGCCCAGCGGGGAGCCTGCCTCTCTCTCTCCCTCTGCTGCTCCCCCTGCTTGTGCTCTCTCGCTCTGTCACTCTCTGTCAAATAAATAAAATCTTTAAAAAGAAAAAAAAAGAAACATTCAGTAAATGTTTGCTCATTGCATGACAGACAACAAAGCCACAAACCAGGGCAAGTATATAATCCATATGTTGGCAGGGTCCAGAATGGAGGGTGTTACACTCCTCTACCCCCGTCCCCGTAAACAATTAAAATTGCAACGGTAAGGGGTGCCTGGGTGACTCAGTCTGTTAACTGTCTGCCTTCAGCTCAGGTCATGATCACAGGGTCCTGGGATCGAGCCCCGTGTCAGGCTCCCTGCCCAGCGGGGAGTCTGCTTCTCCCTCTCCCTCTGCCCCTGCTTGTGCTCTCTCTCTCTCTCTCAAATAAATAAATAAGAATCTTTAATTAAAAAAATGCAATGGTTGAGGTGCCAGTGTGGCTCAGTCGTTGGGCATCTGCCTTCGGCTCAGGTCACAATCCCAGGGTCCTGGGATTGAGCTCAACATCGGGCTCCCTGCTCGGCAGGAAGCCTGCTTCTCCCTCTCCCACTCCCACTCCCCCTGCTTCTGTTCCATTTCTCGCTGTGTCTCTCTCTCTGTCAAATAAATAAAATCTTTAAAAAAAAAATGCAACGGTTAAGCTTGAGAGTAGAACTTACTACAAACTGTTCCAATGACTGATACAAAGATTCCCTAAAAGTGAAAGTTCAAGCATTTAAAATCTTCCTTCAACTGTGGTGATATTCTAGTCAGGGAGATCCTATATGTATAATTGTACAAGAGACAAAAAAAAAAAGATGAAAAGATTGTTCCTCAGTTTTCATAGTTCATACTGAGAATGCCTTCAGTATGGTGCACAAAATGTCGCAACATGGCCTGGCCACTAAGAGAAGCTGGCTTGTTGAAAGGTACGCCCAGGTAAAATGGGTGACTGACATATGAGGTAGATAAGAACATTCTAGAGATACCACTGTAGGAAGTCCTGCGGCTTCTAGGCTCAGGTGAATTTACATGGAAAAGGCCACTCCCTAGAGGAGTGGGCATTACCTGGTGGCCAGATCCATAATAAAATCATCACAGATCACAGGGATGGAAAGGGATGTTGACCAAGCCCCAGAAGCCTAATGTCGAAGGAATATCTTTTTTGATTTTAAAGGATGTGATTTTAAAGAAAATAATCCATTTTTATTTAGCAGAGAGTAAACAAACATATGGAACTTGATAGCTCAAGAAGGAGCACAAAGTGAGGATACAAAGATTCAAGAAGACTTGATATTAAATGTATGGAAGACAAATCCATCCCAGCTGGTTAAGGGGGAACTTGAGTGTGTTGAGAGCTATCCACAAATAGATCACAAAGCTAAGAGGGGCACAGTGGAATGAAGATAGGAACAGAACTGCAGTCCTCTGGACACTTTCTGAAAGTCTCATCTGTGAGATGGGCAGTTCATCTTTCAAAAGGTAGAAGGACTATGGAGAGGGTTTACCCTGCTGGACTTAAATCAGACCAGTGAAGAACGGGAGGATAAACCGAAATAGAAAGCCTCCTTGGGTGAAAGCAGTGATGTCATCCTGGATTTCACATGCCGATTCTGCAGTTCCCTAGACTTGCCATTTCTTATTCCATCATACATTTCATAAGCTTCTAACTCTGGATGGAATGCTCCGCTCCTGCCATGCTCCCAACTTCTAGCCTCCACTCTCATC